AGAATTGGGGGAAAGATTCATGGGCATGTGGTGAAATTGGGTTTTGATTCGTATGATTTGGTGGGTGCTGCTTTGGTTGATATGTATGGAAATTATGGGGGATTTGGGAATGCAGGAGAGGTGGTTGATGAAATGTCTGTTTGGGAGGGTGGTTTGGATTTTTCGATTTCTGCGGCTTTGCGAAGCGGGAAAGCAATGGAGAAACTTGAGCCTGAATCGGTTAATTCAGTTACTGTGATTAACTTGCTGAGATCAAGTGTGGATTTGAACTCACTGAAGGCTGGAAAGGCTGTTCATTGCGTGGTGGTTGTGAGAAATTTGTGTGAGGATTTGTCTGTGAATACTGCATTGTTGTCTATGTATGCCAAGTTGGGTGATTTGAAATATGCAGAATTGTTGTTTGGAAAAATGCCTGACAAGGACTCAGTTGTTTGGAACATAATGATCTCAGCTTATGCTCGAAATCGGCATCCTAAGGAATCACTTGAGCTATTGAGATGCATGGGAAGATCAGGGGTTAGAGCTGATTTATTCACTGCAATCCCTGCAATTTCGTCAATTGCGCAGTTAAGAGCTGCTGATTGGGGCAAGCAAATGCATGCTCATGTGATAAGAAATGGTTCAGATTATCAAGTTTCTATTCACAATTCTCTTATTCACATGTACTGTGCTTGTGATGATCTGAATTCGGCACAAAAGATTTTCGACTTGGTGCCTAACAAGACTGTGGTTTCATGGAGTGCAATGATCAAAGGATATGTATCCCATGATCAGAGTCTTGACGCGCTTTCTCTCTTCGCCAAGATGAAAGTTGATGGATTAGTTGTCGATTTCATTACAGTAATTAACATCTTGCCTGCTTGTGTGAACCTTGGGGCACTAGAGAATGTAAAGTACCTTCATGGGTACTCAATGAAACTCAGCCTCAACTCGCTTTCATCTGTTAATACGGCGTTTCTAGTCAGCTATGCGAAATGTGGATGCATAGAGATGGCCCGGAAGCTTTTTGACGAAGAAAACATCAACACTAAAGATGTAATCACGTGGAATTCTATGATTAGCGCGTATGCTAAGCATGGAGACTGGTCTCGTTCTTTCGAGTTGTACCACCAAATGAAGAACTCGAGCTTGAAGCCAGATCAAGTAACCTTTCTCGGAGTACTGACAGCCTGTGTAAACGCAGGTCTTGTTCAAGAAGGAAAGGAACGTTTCAAGGAGATGGTTGAAAAATACGATTGCCAACCAAGCCATGAACACTATGCTTGCATGGTGGATCTGCTAGGGCGTGCCGGGCATGTCAACGAAGCCAGAGAGCTAGTAAAATCTATGCCTTTCAGACCGGATGCTCGGGTTTGGGGGCCTTTGTTGAGCGCTTGCAAGTTGCATTCGGAGACTGGAGTTGCAGAGTTCGCTGCTGAGAAGCTTATAACCATGGAACCGAAAAATCCCGGAAATTATATATTGCTTGCCAACATATATGCTGCAGCTGGAAAGTGGGATGGAGTTGCTAAGATGAGGAGTTCCCTCAGAAACATAGGCCTGAAGAAAACTCCGGGACTGAGCTGGGTAGAGATAAACGGACGTCAACATGAATTCCGAGTAGCGGACCGTTCTCATCCGAGATCCGACGGTATATATGCCACATTAAGAAACCTGGAGTGGGAAATCAAGGATGCAAGAGACAGAGATAGTGTATAGAAACAGTCATAAATTCCGATTTGTACATTGGATTTGGAGGAACATTTTAGCCTTCACTTAAATTCTTAAACACATTTAAGTTAAGATTTTACTTCCATAAAGTTTTACTCAAAACTCAAACAGAATCCAGAAATACAGATAATAAGCTCACGGTTCAATGCTTTAACATCGATATAAACAAGTTCTAAGGCAAAATTGATATGTTGGATCAAGCAACGCCACTTTCGGTAACAACTCTCATGCTTCCGGTTTCTCAGCAACGCCGATAAACACACAGGCACACGCACAGGAAGCCATTACAAAGACCGTCAAGCCAATTTCCGTTGGTCAGCTAGTTTGATTTGGTTATAACTTATACGCCTTATGTTTCTGCATCGTGTTTCTCTTCTGGAACGCTGTTTCCAACCTGTGGCCGTTTGAAAGCTGTACAAGAAGGAACGAGAGAATAATAAGAGAACTGGCCACTTAAGACAAGAATTACAGAACAATTCTACATTCATAAACATAATCGCATATTCACATTGCAGCATCGGAGCAGGTAAATTGGAAAATCAAGATAGGTACTACGGCACAACACAAGCAAATCCAACTGTTCGGGAGAAAAAGATAACTCTAGAACAATACGACTAATAATTCACTGTACATGACATCCGACAATAAAGTTAAATCAAGCAAGCACACAAGCAGAAATCTTACATTTAAGAGATGATCCAGCCAGACAAGTAAGCCTTGATTTTGTGTTAGCCTCGGCCAATGGATTTGGCTTCTCGGTAACAGCCATGCGAACATCCCAAACACGTATAATCCCATCTGACGAGGCAGATGCCACAAGATAGGGATCCTCGTTGACTTCAGCACCAGCTTTGCTTGTAAGCGTAACAATTCCCTTCACACGGGTAGGATGTGCACCCTCAATGCGATATGCAACTTTCCCACTGTTTGTGTCCCAAGCTGTAATACCCCGGTCCTCACCACCGGTAAATAAAATTCCATTCTGTCAAACATTAAAATGTAAACTTAGGCAAACTGAAAGGTGAAAGATCTTACCAAAAAGCAACGCAATGGAGCAATTCCTTTAAACAAATGGAAGTTTACAGGCAGTAAATAATGGGTAATAAATACTTCCCCCATGGGTTGAACCCAACAGAACTACCCCATATACAACACACACATATAGCTTTGTGTAGGGTTCAATTTGGGAATGCCTTCGGAAGGGCTAGAAGCACTCTTAAGATAACCAAAGGCGCTTATGGCAGTGTTTGGCTTGGTGCTTTCTAGAGAAGCACCTGCAATTCAGAAAACACTTTCAGGTGCTTCTCCTGGAAGCAGTTGGACTTTTAACCAAACTTTTGTTGTGCTTATAATAAAACAAGTTCTAGCATAAGTGCTTATGATCAGCAGATAACACTAAGACTGATTACTCACATTATCAATGTGCAGACCATAAATTGCAAAAAGGATACAAATTTAACCCGGAACCGAAAACCCAAATGCCCGAAAACTCACCTCACCGGGTTCAATGCACAGAACCCGCTTCGAATTCTCGAATTCACAAAGCAACTTAGCATCCTCAGCCTCATGAACCATCACCTTCTCCTCCATAGTCATATAGAACTTCTCTCCAGAGAAATCATAGCTCACCAAGCTTGCCTCCTTGGCCACTCTGCAATAGAAGCTCCTCTTCCCCCTCACCAAATTAATCATCGCCAAGCACTCGTCTTTCCCCACCGTCAACGCCAGCTTCCCGGACGGGTGCAACGCCACGTCGTTAATCGCCTTCCTGTGCGGCTTGAGGGTCTTGAGGAGGACGAAGGGGTCGGCCTCGTAGATGCAGAGGGACCCCTCGGCGTCGGCGGAGATGAGGTTGAGGGGGAAGGAGAGGTGGGGAGGGGTGAAGAAGGAGAGGGAGGTGACGGTGGCGGAGTGGTCGTGGAGGGAGCCGAGGGAGGTGGCGGAGGACATGTTGTAGAGGTGGACGGTGTCATCGGTGCCGCCGGATGCGGCGGCTGAACCAGCGGTGGCGACGGAGGTGATTGACGAGAGGTGGGAGGGGTAGGAGAAGAGAGGGGTTAGGGTTAGGGATTGAGAATCGGGGCTAGGGTTTAGGGGTCTGAGCTTGAAGCCCCATATGAATTTCTCGTAGGAGCCGGCGATTAGGCTCATGGTGGAAATTGGCGCCGGCGGTTCTGCTGATTTTGCTTGATGTGTGTCTGCGAGGGTTTTAGGGAAAGGGAGAAGGGTTTTACTCTTACATGGAATTATTTTTTTCGGTTTTTTGGCCAATATGTTCCATCTTATTTACGTAATTTCTCAGTTACCGTTTGTTACCTAGGATGGGATGAAACGGAGTGCAACGAGATGTTCTGTTCCATGTTTGGTGCGTCTAAAACGGGTGGAACGCGCTGTTCTATGAGATGAATTTTAGGTGAATTTTCGTTCCGTCTCACCCTCTAAAATGACTCGTTCCACATACGTGGAACACAAAATTATAATCTCTCCGTCTCCTTCTTCTTCTCCTTGTTTCCATCTGAAGACATATTTACTCCCTCTTTGTTCCGTTCTGTCCTGTCTCATCCCGTCCAGTCTCATTCCGTTCCGTCCCGTCTGCATACCAAACGATACCTAGGTACCGTTTGGTACGTGGGACGAGACGGAACAGAGTGAGATGAGGCATTCCGTCCCATGTTTGGTGCGCCTAAAATGGTGGAACGCGTTGTTCCACGGGACGAATTTTAGGTGAATTTTTGTTCTACCTCACCCCCTAGAACGACTCGTTCCACATATGTGGAACACAAAATTATAACCTCTATGTCTCCTTCTTCTTCCTCCTTGTTTCCATCCGAGGGCATCTTTGCTCCCTCTCCGTCCGTCCCGTCTCATCCCGTCTGCATACCAAATGATACCTTGAAATCAATAGTAATCTCTGATTTTGTTTATCGTCAATTATTTTAATCATTACGTGAAAAATTTCTATTATTTTTTCTTTTTGTTAAAAGAAAAATCATTGGCTCATTATTTATTAAATTGAGAGCATTTTTATCATTTTGGTCTTTATTAACATAATTTTTTTACGAAAAGACAAAAATGCTTGACAATAGACAAACTCGGAAATCAATTCTATTAATTTCAAATCTCAAAAATCAAAATAAAGAGTTAAGTCAATGGTATCATCATTTTAGATAAAAATTCTTATTTTTTAAATGACAAAAAATTGACCCAAAAAGCCCAAAGGACAGGTGAGAGGCCCAAACAAACACAACATGTTTGAGACTCCAGGGGAAACTAGGAAACGGTCGTGAGTCCGTGTCCGTGTCCGTGGCATAAACCGCAAACGGAAGAAGAGATGTAGAAGGGTCAGGGTGGCACCTTCGCCGTACAATGTTGTCGGCTTACCTAACTTGTTTACCGATGTTGTACTTACAAACATAAACATAAACATCCTTTGGTAATTCCGAGCTATTCGTATTAGTGTGATTTGGCCGGAGAGGATTTCTAGGAATTCCGAGAGGGAAAGGGACCCCCGTACCCAATGGGTCAAGAAGAAGAACAGCAACAACTGCAGCAGCGACCAGGAGACGAAGCTCCTCCACCTTCTTCCCAGGCGACCTCTCAGGAACCCTCCACCCAAACCGCCCCTCCTCCTCCCCCGTTCGATCCCAGTCGAAGTAACCCTCTCTCTCTCTCTCTCTCTCTCTCTCTCTCTTTCTCTCTCTCTCTCTGCAACTAATGTTTTTAAGATGCCTTTTTATGTATCTGAATTTTTTCCGTCTGTTTTTTTATTTTTTTTATTTACTTATGCAATCTGGGTTTATTGAAAGGTGTGGAATTTCAGAATCTAAGTTGCGTTTTTGCAGGTTGTATAATGCGATTTAGTTAAGGTTTACGTGTTAGAGTTTGTCAATCTGTTAAATTTTATGTCGGGCGAGTTCTTCTTATATTTGAAATATCGGGTCAGTGATTGGGGTTTCTTGTGTAACTACATCTGTGTTAAAAGTAATGTATTTCCCTGTAGGATGTAGGAACAAAGATGAATCCTTGTTCTTATGTTTCACATATTTCCATGTAATTTATGATTGAGAGTTCTGTAATCTTACCCAATCTCTTTGAGATGGTTTTGATATGAAGCTCAGAAAATGCGTCGATACTTCAATAACTGATGATACAGTGTTCGTTTGAATATGCTTTTAAAATGACTAAAAGTGCTTTTAGAGAAAATGTTTTTTTTGTTCCGAAAGCCTTAAAAGTGTTTTCTACAAGAAACACCACATTAAGTGGTTTTCCAATATTTACTAGCATTTTTACTGAAGATTGTTTCTAAACATATTTTCATCAAAAATGCTTTCAATTATTTTAAAAGCACATCCAAACGAACTCATAATTTGTCATGCGTCCAAATCACATGTTGAAATTCATTCCCCAGTTCAAGTGCTATCTCTCCTTCGGAAACTTCAGATCAAATGCGCTGTTCTTGCCATTTACGGTTAAAGCGGGGTTTGTTATTTGTTCCTTGTGGGTTCCGAGCACTGACATTGTAATGAACCTTTAGAAAGATCCTAACCTTTGTCATATTATTTTTTGAAGTGATTGGCATCATCAAAAGAAAGGCTTTGATAAAAGAGTTAGCTGCTGCATACCATGCGGAGTGCCTTGCATACTGTCAAGAGATTTTGGAACTTCAAAGGAAATCGGATGAGGTCAGATACGATGCGCTCTTATTTATTTACAAGTTTCTTTCGATTTGTTGTTACTCATTTGATGAACACGTTATGCATGTTCACGCCGTTAATTCGACAGTACGGTCTAACTCCCTCATCAAGTGATCTGTATATTCGAATTAAACAGTTTGTCTAGGAACGACAACAAAGCAAAGGGAGGGTCAGTTTTTCCGTCCCCACCTTGTCCTGCTAATGGAGTTGAAATGGGTGGCGGGGAGATGTTACTCTTGCTCCCTGAGTATTCTGATGAAACTGGGGTTCGTTTGATTAGAACGAACCCCAGTATAAGCACTCTCTCCGTCCCTAGACTCACTCCCATCGGGACTGATCCGCATGGGGCTTGGCTAGTAACGCGTTGATGACTCTTGGCTTAGGCGATAATGCTATATAGAGTAGGTTGGAGTTTGGTAGGTCTACGGTGAATAGTTTTCCCGTTCTATGGTGTGAAGGATATCTCGGAAACTTATTACGCGTTGAAAAAATTGCTTAGTTCTCATTAATCTTCTCGATTAAGGAATTTCGCTGATGTATGTCGCAATTGCTGGTTTTAATTAGAAGTTTTACGTATAATGATGATTTCCTTTCAATTGGTTCTCACTCTTGGTGGATTTTGAATATGGTTGCAGCCATTTATTGACCTGAAACCTCCGGAGGATATGAAGAAGGAGATAATGCGGCCCCCCAAGCGTCTAAAGACCCCCGCTAGACACTGATACTGTTGTTGGCAGCTTACTCTCGGATATGCACAGAAAAGTTCCTTGAAGCGTAGTTCCCGACTTTCGGTTTGTTTAGGCACAACACAGGATACAAAAGTTTATCATCTCATATGACGAATGTAAATTTCGAACGATGCCCGAAAAGTGCCCGGTTATTTTGGTCATAACGGTTGCAGAAGCAGCAGTTTGTAAAAGTTGGTAATCGCAAGGGAGCTTCCTTTGTCTAGTTTTGTGTAGGTTTTACTTCAAATGTGGATCAGATGAATGCTATTTGTCAGAATGTATCTTGTTTGAGTGCATCAAATGCCAGTAACAGGAGGGATTTTCCAAGTGTCGGGTTTCTTTAGACGCTTTGGACACGTACCCGTTTGAATACTGGACACTTCGAAAAATTTCTCCAGTAGCAGGAAACAAAACTGCCAACATATAATCATGTTGCAGATGAAACAAAGGGCATGTGTGGGACTGCTTCAGTTGGAAGCACTTATCCACCTGGAAGTGCTTTTGATTGTTAGAAAGTGCTTTTAGACCTTCCAAAAGAAGGCGCAAACATGCCCTCACAAGAATGGTACTTAATAAGTATAACAATGGCATTACCTCGCAAGAAGGTCAAGTAGGGTAATTGTATTTCAAAAGTTCAAAATTCAGTGAAGTACAAAATTTACAATGCTCACGTTGTTTTCCTTTACGTTTGTGTAAACATCTATATCCCTTTGCTGTTTCTTAAACGATTTTGAAGATGTTATGTTTCGATGTCTCGCCAATTAGTTCTCCTTACCTGCGAAAACATGGGTAATCCGCTTAGCAACAACAAAAATCGAAGAGCTAGAACAGGAAGGGAGATTAAACATGTTGAACATCAAGTTACCTACCTAGGTTTTAACGATGCCCAAATCCTTTGCAATGGGCAACTTGGGGCTGGTGTTTTAAATATTGACCCCCACATCCTTTGCAACGGGCAACTTGGGGCTGGTGTATTAAGCATTGACGCCCACATCCTTCGCAATGGGCAACTTGGGGCTGGTGTATTAAACATTGACGCCCACATCCTTTGCAAGGGGCAATTTGGGGTGGTGGGTGAAGAAACCTGCCCTTCTGCGAGCATTTCGGTTGATGATCCCTTTTCATTAACAAACTTGACGGATTCTGAGAGCCGATTTAGTAGGTTCATCAAGGCAATCACCTCATTCCTTTGCAGGTGCAGCTGAAGAACAATACAATAGAGTTCAGTTGAAATACAGAGTGTGTCGGACACTCGATTACACCTACAAATTATGTACAAATGACAAGTAGTATTTGAATCTTCATGTGGGATGCAGGTGCACCTGCGGTCCACAACACAGGAGTCACAGAGATGACCATACGGTCCATTCCCACAAAAATCACTCTTGATGTTGATGGTAAGTTTGTATGTGCCATATGTCATTTTTAACAAACTAGGAAATGATGTCGACATGGCTTACTGCGAGTTCCATAATTAGGATCCATTAGATAAGCCATAAAATCACAACTAGAATCTTAACCTCTACCATAATTAGGGTCGATCAGATAAGCAAAAAAATCTTGGTTACTATAAAATAGCTCTAAATCAAAGGCAAAAGACTCAGGGAAAAGAAGGGTCCATTAGCAAACTTTTGAGACCTTACTAAATACCACTGCAGGAAACATGTTTCTTCAACCGAGTGCCATACAGAATTAGCTTTTAACGAGATACTTACAGTTTGAACAGCGTTTTGTTGACCGTCAACGGAGAAGAGGATTTTAAGTGCGGTGCCAAGACCAAGGACCTGAAGCTTCCCCCAAAGTCGACATTTTTCGCATCCGACACAATCCATCAATGCACTACAATGATAATGCAAACATTTAAATTAGTCACTTAAATGATATGGTTCTGAAGACACCCGCCCCCAAAAAAATACACACACTCATATCCATCAATGCACTACTTACATGATGCCAGTTAAAAATTTGGGATACCTTCAACATTTTCTACGAACATGATAATCATGATCAACCACTATATATAAGACAGTAAGGCCAAAAGAAAAGCTATGATACCTAATGTTTCTGAACTGTTTCTGTATTTTCTGCTTTAGTTCAGGTCCACGCTGGCCTTTCCACAGCTTAGCTTCATCAAATGGGACAGGGCAAGCAGCTTGTAGATTGGGATTATAGAGTAGCTGTCTCACCAAGGATTGTGTCTTCAGATCCTCAGTAGGATTACCAGTGTCATATTCAGCATGTTCCAAGTAATCTGCAGCCTGAATGCATTTGACCAAGATTGATATTATTGTCTCAGAAAGATAAACAATATGAAAACGTAAAGTGAAAACTATTGTCAGTAGACTCAGTATGCTTCAGTATCCCTGCCAGTAAGAATAACATAATACTTTGAAAAGGATTCTAGCTTACACCCACCTTTGTCACTGCTCGGAGAACGAAGAGATACGTGAAGTACAAGTTTCTGACACGGTCTGGGTATCTTAGGACCCGATCATACAACAATGAGAGATTTGGACCCCACTGAAACAGAAATTTTAGAAAGAAGAAAAAGAAGTAAGATCTTTACATAAAAACAGTATGAAATATTTCAGAAACCATGGAAACTGTGTTGTCTGCATAAAATGTAAGTTTTAAAAGAAATGATATATCAGAACTTGTACCGTCTGTGTAGTTTCATCAAGGAGATAATCGGAAGCTATGTGGACTGAAATAGAGGAATGAAGACCAGATATCAACTTGTACAGAATTCTTTCTTCAGCGCATAACTCTTCAGATGGATCTAGAGATGAAGTTGAAAATGAACACGATACTTAGTCTTAAATACAATGAAACATGCAGTGCAACTGTCCAAAATATTTACACTATGTGTATAAACTGAAATATATCTCAGAAGAACTGCTAACTTGTAATTTTAAAAATAAGCATACTAGTCAACTGAAAAACACATGCAAACATTTTGAATAGGAAGATCGAAACCCACTACGTAACATAATTACGGTCAACAGAAGTTAATCTGCTAATGAATAGACACCAAAAGTAGAATGGAGTACAACCGGAAATGGACACAATGATATCAAAAGATCCCGGCGAACCCAAGTTATAAGATTATAGTGCCCGCAATAGTCCAACAAAAGGGCTCATTAAGAGCTCCCACTAAACTTGTGCAAGTAGAGCAACTTTTAAGAAGCTTTAATAAGCATTTATCGACTAACTTACATGTCTAGAAACAATAGACAAGAACATTTTAGTTACATTCACTAGAGTGAAAAAAAAAAGGAGAAAATATCTTACATTTAGGACAGTTCTCTGCGTAGACAGCATCCCATATCCTTCTAGCAGATGGACCAGTGTAGCCGGTATATCGTTCAGGATTCAGTTGAAGATTCACATATGTCATCTCAGCTGCAAATTTAAATGTGCAGTTAATCATTGCAAACACAATAAAATATTTTAAAATTTTCAAAGAAGATACAATTGGCAGGAATGGCATTCAACCGCAAACATAAGCTAACATATACGAAACATAACTGTTAAGTTGAGAAGGAAAAGCAAGGATACAAACCATTGTCTGTCTCATCGTCATTTGTCCAGGGATTATCTATTTCTGTCCATCCTCTGAAAGCTTTATTATCTAGTGTACGATCAACAGCTGCTTCAGGCTTTCCCTCCTGACAAACAAGATCATCCACTGGAAGGCCATGATAGGGTTTCTTGAATGACTCGGGGAACTCACTATCTGGGCATTCGCATACACTGCAATCCCGCAGACGGCACATACCATCATCAGGCCAGAAAGGGCAGTCGCACCATAACTTAACCTAATACAAATCCACAAATCAGATACACAGCAGAACAACCGAGTAAAAGGTCGTACCCAGTGCACAAGGCTCCCGCTTTACGCAGGGTCTGGGAGAGGTGAATGTCGGCTAGCCTTACCCCCATTTATGGAGAGGCTGCTCCCAAGTCTCGAACCCGAGACCTACCGCTCATGGGCGAAGGCACTTGCCATCGCACCAACCGAGTGCTAATAATAAATTTCAAGAATCGTATACAGCAGCAAAGCATCAAATATTCGATTAATTGATACTCAAACATGCAAATCTAGCCAATGTATACAAATCATCTAACCTTGAAATACCGGAAGAACGGTGTTTTGACAAGTTCTTGTAGTGATGGATGCAGAACTTCCTTGTTAAGATGGTCTGCGGTCTCGTAATCACAACAACAATCCTCCACTATCCCACTATACTTATGCGTTTCCTACACAGATCATAACAAAATCCCAATTTTAACAACCAACAGAATTAAAATTTAAACTTTCACTAACATCAAGTCCAATTTTTGCACATATTCAAACAACCAACCATTCATCTGATCAATGTAAAGCAGGATTTAAATTCAGCACAATTCTTATTAAACAATTTCAACAACATACCATCTTACTTACAATGACCAATAACTTAAAGCTCAAAACTTTCACAACCAAAAACAAACTTTTCAATTTTCTCATGAAATTTTCCCTCTACTTTCTCGGCAACCAAACAGAACGTGCAAGAAACCATACCTGAGTACAATTGCAAACCTTGTTAGACCGTCCAAAGAACGATATCTTCGGAGCACGCACGGATGTCATGGCGACGGCAACGAAGACGGCGATCACCGCCCCGACGACCCAAACCCATCGCCTCGGTTTTCCCTTCGCCCCAACCATTAATGCAACAAAAATTGTGAGCAAAAGCCTATAAATCTCAATAAAACCCTGTTTGTTTCCCGAGAAAATGAGGAGGAAAATTCTGGGATCTGGGTTTTTGGTTCTGTGATCTCTGCTAGCTTAGCTGGGAAGGAAATGTATTTATAAGGAGGGTAAGTTTCAATTGGGAAGAATTAAAGAGCGGTAAGTGTTTGATGGTTTTTGGGGTGATTTATTTGATTTGATTAGGCGGCGTAACTGTGGGCGAGAAGGAAAGTGCCGGGAAAATCAACGGCCGACTGCGGGCGAGTGGGAAACGCCCGAGAAAAATCGGCGCCAGCGGGATTGGGGAAGGAGGTGAGAATTCTGGGCTGGGCCGAGTCAGGAAATATTGGGTTGGATTAGTGTTTTTCGATCCATGGCTGAGATGGTTTTAAAGCCCAAATCTGAATATGCAATGAGCTAAGGGTAATTTGCCCTTCAACTTTTAGCCTAATTTTAATGTCACACAACATTTTTCAATCTTTTCAGTTTCATACAACCACTCCCGTTTTCGTACCAATATCGTACATTAGTCCAACTTGTCGTTACGATTCATGTTAAATTCTGATGTGGCGCATGCGGAGCCCACCTTAGGGGAGTGTTTCTCGCCAAATTTTCGACATGCAGACAAAATAAAAGTGTCATGTAGGATCCACGTGGTGATGTTGAAGTGGATGAGGAGGGTGAATCTGAGCACTTGGATGATGAAGATGATAGTGACTTTGTAGAGGAGGAGTACCCTGAAGATGAAGATCATAGGGAGTTTATGCAGTATGTGGATCGAGATTTCGATGGACAAGAAGATGCAGTTCTTGACGGAATGAGGAGGAGGGCAAGGTCATGAGAAGTAAGGGAATTCAAATGAGGAGGTTAGGGAAATGAAAGAAGATGTTGAGGTTAATGCTGAAGTTGTACATGAGCCTGATTACAGCAGTGATGGTCTTCATAGTCTGCATTGAGAAGAGGAGGAATGAGGCATATAACATGTTACTTATCGAGAATTCAATGAGAAGACTGATACGAAGAACCCGCAGTTGAGTGTTTGATTGATATTTTTAGAGAAGCAAAGCAGTTCAAGAAGGCTGTAAGGACACATTCTCTGATTCATGGCTGTGGAATGTACATTTCCCAAGGAATAACAGATACAAGGTTGATGCATAATGTAATGGAGATTGGCTTTGGTTTTGCAAGGCTGGGAAGATGGTGAATTCAACAAGTATTCAGATAAAAACTTTGCTGGATCATCACACATGTTGGAGTTTGGGTGAACAGGACCATGAAGCAAGAATGGTTGGTGGAACAGTACTTGGAGAGGATCAGTCTTAATCCAACATGGCCTTATAGTGGAAAGGACTTGTTCATGCAGAAAGTATGACCTCACAGTCACAGGCATACCTTGCACTCATGCAATTGCTGCCATCAACTTTCAAGGGGGGGCAACCCGAGGACTATATATGTACATCCATGCCATTCCAAGACAAAATACCTGGAAATATTCCCGTTTAATTCAGCCAATGAATGGAGAGATTTTTCAGTGTGACAGGAACATGAGGTGGTATACCATGTGTTATTATACGAACGGTGGGATATGTGTGTTAAAAAGTTAATAACTTAAAAAATACAATTTCCCACCGCTTGTATAAAAACACGTGATGTACCATTCGTATTCCGGTTACAAGGAAAAATATTTCCAATGAATGGCATGTCTGTATGGGATGTGACTGATAATCCACCAATTCAACCTCCTCTGTATACAAACAACCATGATTTCAATTGTGTCAATTTTACGTTTGAGGTTTACTTCCCATACCAATTTAAGTTGTTGTGGAATTTATTTTGTATGAAATAAAGTTGTTTTAGTTGATTGAAAATGTTTTTGACAAAAGTATTTTTTAGTCATTTTAAAAACAATCATGCTTTTAAAATGATTGAAAACATTTTTGACGAAAGTATTTTTGAGTTGAATAAGCTCGAATCTTCAACTTGTAAAGTAAATTAAGAAGCATTCTGTCAAACCGTCAGAAGTATATTACAATTACATATAATGTACCTCAGAAATTAGAATACAAACCGAATAATGTTACATACAAATGGAACTGAAACCCTAGAAGAAAAAATAGGCAGAAATTATAGGGTAAAAATCCGAAAAGGAAAAAAAAAATCGTCTTATAGAACATCAATATTAATCAATTAATCATATTTGCTAACTAATTATATAGCTTCAAGATATTGGAATATTGTTCAACGTACTCCTCACATTCCCAACCATGCAAGCTAAAAATTGCAAAATAGGCCGAAAACAAGCGTCTATAGGATTCCTAACAAAAGCATACCAGCGTGACCCTAATGCCCTCTCCCAGAAGCTCATAATGAAGTTTTGGTTCCGACTGGTGGCCAACAAAGCTGACTGCACGTACGCCGAAGCTGCACTCTTCACCAGCTTGTTCCGAATTGTTATGTTCGAAGGGTCGAATTCGAAGTCGTTTTCCTCCGGAACTATCGTGCTGTGTTGCGGTGTGTTCAACATGATGTCCTTCAAACTTGTGTACCGATGTTCATCGTCGATTTCAGGGTCCGTTCTGCTGCTTGTTGATGAGTTTCTGCGTAGGATTAGGGCAGGTAGGCTTTTTGTGAGGTGAAGTTCGGCGTCCATTATAATTACAAAGCATGAGAGTTTGATAACGATGAAGTTTTGTGTGCAACAAATATGGGCATTCTGGAAAAGGCCGATCGGGAAGTTATTAGGGTTTTTGAAGGGAAGTTTTTAGGTTAATTCGTTTTGGTTGCAAGCTGTATATTGTGAAAGAGGAAAAATACTAGAGGTTTCTATGCATGAATTTAGATTCAAAATTAACCAACCCGGTTTATATTTTTGTTCATTGGTTATATTGGTAGATTTAGGAGCTACATTTTTTGCGGGTTTCCTTTGATACAGGACAGTTAAACTGGGAAAATGCTATATATAAAGATTGGTTTTATTTAACTTGCATATGGCCGGTTTATAATTGATGGTGCTAAATTAGGGTTCTTGCAAGTTCATCATGCATCTTTTGAAAACCACCCCCTTCCCCCATATATTTGAAGTTTTGAACATAAGTTCTGTTAGCATCGGTGTGCATCGTTGATGTAATGTGAGCCTCTCTTGCATCAGCAGTCTGCATTCACAAACATTTGTGTAGGGGACGGGTGATAACATTGTTCTTCGTAATGAAGATCATTTGTGACTCGATGCATTAATTGATCACATCTCACAAAAATACAATATACTTAGTTGTGATGAAAGATTACTCATCGACTTTTTCTAAAAATGGAAGACTTTTTTTGAAAAAGAACACTGCGGCAGATTTTCAGACTAATTAAGTTGAGTTTCTCCATTGATGTAGGATGCTCCTTTGAATCTACCCCCTCTCATATCGGTTATAATCCTGCTGTCTTCGGATCGATGAACTAGCTGAAGTTGCAAGGCCGAAGGCCGTTTGTATGTGCCTTGTGAGCTAGTTTTTTCCCTTTCGTTTGCTGTTTGCTTGGGCTTTGTGGGATCCCATTTTAACCAAAAGATTAACATTTTACGAGAGTTCCGTTTGATAATTATTTTGTTTTTAGTTTTACAAATATCATTTTAATTTTCAAAGTTTTTGTTAGAGATAGATGAGAGAAATAAGAGACGAAGAAGAGAGATGGAAAGGTTAGGCGGGATATGAAAAGAGGTGTTTAGAGCGCTAATGATCTGAGTTAAATGAATGTTTTACCATAATTGTCATTCAATTTAATTACTGTGATGTCAACTTTGTTTAACTTTTATCTCCTTGGTTTACTTTCTTCCCAAATTTGGATCAAATTGTCAATTTTTCGTACATGTTGCAGTATCATGTGTGGGATTTTTGTAATCCATTCCACCCAAAACAATCCGGGTTGGGCGGTTCCTGCCCGACTTAGCCCAATAAGAGTATTTGAAGCCTTTTTTGAGATACTGGCCCCTTTTTTTGGGGGGGGGGGGGTGGGGGTTGTGTGTTTAAAAATTGCATAATCCGACCATGGGAAAGCTCTGACCTACCAAATTTTAACCCTAAAATAAATTATGAAAAACGATCAAGTCATGGAGTTTGTTGATTGGTGCACATTTTATTGTAATCATGAGGTTGTCGAATTTGTTGATAACTAATTGTTATCTCTGACCTTTTAAGTGGGAGTTTAAACCACGGAAAATGATGGTTTAGGGGTGAGAACTGGGAACTGGGAAGAGTGGCCACCTATTGTAAACCTTTTCTTAGTGATGTTATTAAAATAAGTAAATAAAAAGGTTAAACCACTTTTAATACAAGCGATAATTGAAGATGGTAATCGCACTTAAAACTTCGACTTTGCATGCATAGAATTAAATAATTGCGTAGTACACGAAATGAAAGTATACAAGTAAGAAAATATTGCTTATCAAAGAGTCGGACGTATTTTTGAAAGAAAAAAAAAAAGAATCGGACAGATTGTGCTTGTATTTTAAAATTGTTATTGTTTTTATTTTTATTTTTATTTTTTAAACAAACGATATTATCTACACTAAGGGAGACGAGATATGATTAGCCTCACAATTGGCTAGCAATGATGTGGTTCAAATTCACATTTGGCGAGAATCGAACTTAAGACCTCTCACTTACAAGTGAAGATGAATACCATTAAACCATAATACTAAGTGGCTGTATAATAAAACTGTTAATTGTGAGAATTGTTTTAAAAAAAAATATTAGCAGTTTGATAACATAACATGTAATAAAATTATTAATAATTAATACTCCGATAAGGTTTTGACAAAAAAAAAAAAAAAAAAAAAACTCCGATAAGGGATATAGTTTCTTCAAGTGCATAAGCGCCTATTGCCATGCAATGGAAGCATTCAAATTTACATGCCGTTTGCTAAAAATTTTGTCCCTCAAGTGACAATGCTCGTTTATTAATTCATAAAATTGTTGTTCAACATACCATCTTAACTAGCTTGCTTCATTCACAAATTCAACTAATATATATATTTAAATGATTCCCCTTTATGTGATTTGTCTAAAGATACAAAAACCACATACATATACAATACAATTAGCAAACATCAGTGTCAATCTTCCTGCCGATGTGAGCTCTTGAAGAACCTCAGCCCTGTTATCCTAGACTAACTTTTATCCGTTGTGGACTGGGTCAAAATTTGTAGGGGCATAAAATCTTATCGAAATTAAGCAAATCTAACAAACCATTTTCCACTAGGGTCAATTTCCAGACATTTAGGTGAAATTCAACTAAGCAT